TAAAGTCATTTTATCTGACAGTGATTGATACTAAGTTAATGCCTCCAGCATCCTTCCTTCGAGTGAGTTCACAGCCTGCTTAAAGGTAATGAACATGTCAAAAGTTGCAATAATATCTATGATAGGAGTATTATTTCTGACTAGAGTGAGATTATAAAGGTAGCAACAAGCTATTTTATCTGAAGGTAGTGCAATGTCTTAGAATGTTCTAAACAAGGGGTAGGGCTTGCCACATCTCCATTAGTTTTCCTGAGTATAAACCATCCTGAGAGGCAATGGTTTATATCAACTACTAACTCAGGTTATAATTCTGTGGATGATTCTGCTCTTGGCTTATTTATAGGTTTCCTGCTGTAGCAAGTTATATTGAACTTATTGGCTTAAAACATCAGAGATTTCTTCTCTTACAGTTCTGGAAGGCAGAAGTCCAAATTCAAGTAGTCATTAGAGCTGGTTCTCTTTGAAGGCTATCGCAAAGAGTCTTTTTCCTGCCTTCTCTTATCCTAGCTCTGGCAGCTGCAGGCTCCTTCATATTGCCTTGTGAGCTCATGGCATCTGTCTTCACATGATATTCTTATTCTTTCTTGTGTCATAGCAAGACACATGATTGGATTATCAACCTATCTTTATCCAAGGTGATCTCACCTTTCTCTTAACCTGAGCAAGGCACGTGACAGTCCAGATTCAAGAGGTCAAAGAATAGTTTACCCTTTGTTGCAGACAGCTAAAAGCTACATTGCTAGGTGTTTTTGTTTTTTGCTTTTGTTTTTTTTTTTTTTTTACTGGTCCTAAGGCTTGAACTCAGGTCCTGGTCACTATTCTTAGCTTTTTTGTTCATGGCTGGTGCTCCTTCACATCTCACGTTTTTGGTGGCTAATTGGAGAAAAGAGTTGCACTAACTTTTCTTGCCTGGGCTGGTTTTGAATTATGATCCTCAGATCTCAGCCTCCCAAGTAGCTAAGGATTACAGGCATGAGCCACTGGTGCCTGGCTAAGACATAACATTTAATGGCTTTTAAGCATTCTCTTGTTCTTATGACATGATTTTAAAAATGTATTTCCCCTTTTTCTTGTCATTTGGGTTGTTTGTAAATTTCTTTCATAACTATGGCAATGGATTATTGCATAGAGAATAATGGGTATTTTTAAAAGACTTTTGATACAGATTTCTAAAAATGTTCTCTAAAAGGATTTTTAACAGAGTTGCATTCCTTTAGAATTTGAGACCTTCTGTACTTTCTAATGTACTGGGATGCATTGTTAAGTACAATAAATCATAGCTTTAAAAGTGATGTGAGCTGGGTGCCGGTGGCTCACACCTGTAATCCTAGCTACTCAGGAGGCTGAGATCTGAGGATTTTGGTTCAAAGCCAGCCCAGGCAGGAAAGTCCGAGAGACTCTTATCTCCAATAAACCACTAGAAAACTGGAAGTGGCGCTGTAGCTCAAGTGGTAGAGCGCTTGCCTTGAGCTGAAGAGCTCAGGGATAGAGCCCAAGCCCAGAGTTCAAGCCCCACAACCGACAAAAAAAAAAGTTATGTGAAATACATTTCTTTGATTTTCACTTTTTCTGACTTATTCATTGACTATGTTATTTTTATTTTTGGCAGTATTGATGTTTGAACTCTGGGCCTTATGCTTGCTAGGCAAGTGCTACCCAACACTTCTTGCTTTATTTTTCTAGTAGAGTTTTGCATTTTGGATCACATCTTACTTCCACTTCTAGTGGTAGAGCTGTTTGTAGGCATGCTCCACCATGCCTGGCCTTTGACTATAGTTTTTTTTTTTTTTTGAACGCAGGGGCTAGACACTGTTCCTGAGCTTCTTTTGCTCAAGGCTAACACTCTACCACTGGAGCCACAGCACCACTTCTGGCTTTTTCTGTTTATGTGGCACTGAGGAATTGAACCTGGGGCTTCATGCATGCTAGGCAAGCACTCTAGCCACATTCTTAGCTCATCTATATAGTATTTTGTGGGACCTATCTGTATATATCATTTGACCCTTTTCTATTAGGATATTATCCTATTTTCATTGAGTTTTAGGAGAGTTCTCTTTTAGGAGAGTTATATTCATTGCATAAAATTGTAGTAAGTCAGAAATACTTGGATATAAGCAATCATATGCTTCAATTTAAAATTATCTTAAGTTGTTGCCAGTGATTTTCAAGTTTGTCTTTTGTTCTTCTTACTGTTGTTTTCTTAAGCAAATAACAAGCTTAAAATTTTTATGTGGTCTCGTTTAGAGATTCTGTATTTTGTAGTATCCTCTGTTACTTTCTTCCGGCAAAATTTCTTCCCATCCCAAAGGAAGATAAATATTTTTGTAGTTTCATATTTTAAAACTTAACTTTTCAAATCCATCTGGAATTGTTTCAATATATTGTTAAGGCAATGATCTGTTTACTGACTGATGGAAGAGTTACTCTCAGATTCTTGAGCTTTGTTGTTAAATTTCATATTCCATTGCTAAAAATCACAAAATAATTATGTGTCCAAAGAATATAACATCTCTGACTTTGGTTTTTCCCCACGTCCATTATTCTGGTATCTTCAATTATCTGATAGATTTCAGTGGCCAAAAATAATGTTAATGTTACTTCTTCTTGGAATTCGGAAGTGATGTGTACCCGTTTATTTAGTACATTTGTAGGCTTGAGTTAGATGTTTTATATAAAAATTCCACTGATTTATGCTGTAGATTTTAAGCTTGTCTTAGTGGTACTGAGAAATTAAAGTATAATATTAAATGAGCTCTTCTACAATCTAAATTTCTGTTATTTGATTTAAATTACATGCAGTGGCTCTGATGCCTAGACTGGGGTGTGGCTGGCAGAGGGGAAGAGACAGTATCCTGTCTTGGCTCCTTACAGATGTCTGTTCACATTTCCTTGGCCACTAGGTGGCTTCAATTGCCTGCAAAGAAATGCAAGAAATGTGACCCATAGGCACCAGGGGTTGCCTTGCACACTTTATTTAGGAAACGAATTTCACTCTGGGGACTGGTACAGCTTTAGGGCTTTGTGGGATTACCAGGTCACACTTCATCTTAGAGATAAAGAGTGCTCAGGAGGGAGGACTTCTGACACAAGTCCTCTGAGCCTGAGGGTCCAGTTCATTAGCTGTCATGTCAGTGACATGAATTCGGTTCTCATTTCCCCTAGCCCCATCCAGGTTGCTATGGCACTGACTGTGCCTGGGTTGGGAGGTGTTCAGGAATGCTTTCTGTAAGGCAACCACTTCATGGAAGGGCCTGGTCAGTGCCGATATATGCTACGAGCTTTTATGTTTACAAGGTGACCACAGTTGGAGAGTTTGAGCATTTTTTAATTTATGCTGAGCAAATCTAGGTTCTTCCATCATTTGTCTCTTTTTCTTTTCTTCAGCTGAATAGCAGCAGTTTTTTTTCTTTTCTTTTCTCTGACAACTTTTCTCTTGTATTTAGTTAACAGTTAATGTTAAGGACAGTGTGAACATGTTTATTTTTTATTTATTTCTTTTGCTGGTACCAAGGTTTCAATTCAGGGGCTTGTTTTTTCTTGTTTGGTACTCTTGCCTCTTGAGCCACACCACCAGCTCTGCTTTTTTACTAGTTATTTTGGAGATGAAATCTTATAGACTTTTGGCCTTGAAATGTTATCCTCCCAGTTTCAGCCTCCCAAGTAGCTTTGATTACAGATCACTGGAATTCAGTTTAAAAAAAGGTGGTGTTTTTTTGAGAAATGTTTTATTATGGTTGCTTTGTAACCTGTTTGTTTTTAAACTTATAATAATTATAGAGTCACAAAAAGTATAAAAATAGTGTGTTTTTGAAAATCAAAGGCTCTTATAAAATACAACAAAGACTAAGCAACTCATTAGTTATCACTCCAAATTACTTGTAATTTTGAAGATTTCTGTGAAAATTAAGGAAGCAAAGCAGTATTCTTTTCAACTACTTTTCAATAATAGGTTCAAAAACTTAACAATTTTTATTTTTAAAGTATCATGTTAAAACCACTCACATTTCATATTTTATGACTAGTTTCTAGAGTACAGCATAGATAAGGGAGGCTGAGGGAAGAGTACAAACATGCTGTCTTAACCACTTTATGGTATACTGGAACAGAACACTAAAAAAAGATTTCCCTTGTTGTCTAGATGTTAGGAGTCATGCAAGGGCTACTTTGGTGTGTATCTTCTTGCTATATCATCATTCCATGGAAGATCTAGTGTTGTATGTATAACACAACACAAAATTGAACCTGGAGCCTAAGGCTCTTTTTTCTTTTTCTTTTTCTGTTCTCTAAGCTTTGAAAATAATCACCATTAATACATTCATGGGGGCAGAGGCTTTGTGATGCCACTACCTTTCAAAGATCCTGCCTCCTTGAGGGACCTTTGAAAGATTAGCAGGGTTAGTTAAACACTATTGCATTGGAGGTTATATTTCTAGTACATGGTTCTGGGAAGGAGAAAGATAATCAGAGTGGAAGAGCGATGGAGAAAGAGTTAGAAAGCAGGGTAAGAGGCAATTGAAATACCTCAGAGGGTTACCTGAACAGAGAAGGGTAGGGGGTGTGAGAGAGAGGAAGGTGTGTGTATATGTGTGTGAAGAGGAAGTCATGGCGGGCAGATCTGTGGAAAGAGGCTCTGCCATCCTCTCTCTGCACCATCCTTGCCTTGCTCCTACACCTCATCTCTCCCCTTCAGCTGGCAGATGCCTGGTGTCATCTCTCTGCCATTTGTCACCCAGCTCATGGCTGACGTGAGTCTGTCAGTCAGTACTGGAGAGGGGCACCCATGGTGACTGTTAAGATAATTTTAAAATTTGCCCCCTCTTGCAATGAATCCATAAATACAATGTCTGAAACCTTTGAATTGAGTCTTTGAAATGTTAAAAGTAGAGCTGGACTCATTTTCCTATTTGTGTGTTGAAGATGAATTGAGTCAAACTGTAATTTCCTGGGACAACTCAGCCGCAATTTTAATTCTATCTCATTTTTCTTCTTCCTTATTGTAGTGATTTAAAGGGTGTGGTGGTCACCCTGAGTGATGAGGGTCATTTACAGTGCTCATACCTGGGGACAGACCCTTCTCTCTTCCAAGCGCCAATAATTGAATCTCGAGAACTCAACTATGATGAGCTTGATGTAGAGATGAAAGAACTTCAGAAAATCATCAAAGATTTTAAATCACAAGGTATCTAGCTTCTTGCTATTATCCAATTTTAGTATTCATTATAAAATTCACATCATCTGTTATATGGTTATTGTTTTGCATGTGTTAGTTGATTTTCTCCCTTAACTGAAGAACTCCTGTGAGAGAGAGCTGCTCATTAGGTACTGACTCTGCACATTCCCTTGGCTGTTTCAGCTCCACAACTCAGTCCTACTGAAGGCAGTTTTCTTTCTGTTAGCTGTTTCAGGAGCAGTGCTGTCTAGCTTTCCCTTGTTTTAACCCTAAGGAAGAAGCAGTACTTCTTTGTGTACTGGTGGTAGGTCTTAGGAACATTAAAACTTAGTGGTCACTTATTAGCTTCAAATATCTCTGTAAAAGTGTTAGTTGCTTTAAAAAGAACCCAGTGTCTTCTGTGAGTTACTATTTGATCCTCAAATGCAGTAATTCATAGCTTAGTTATATACTTTATGTTTGGAGTTAATTAGCCATCCAGATGGAGTACAGTCTGTGGTGTGCTGATTTCTAATGACTCACACACTAATGGTATTTTCGGTTCCTACATTTTGAATAACTCAATATTATCTTACTTTGGGACTCACAAGGGTATAATTTTATTGTAAATTAAAAGGAGAAATAAAACACCAATGCACAGTTTGAGTTGGACATGTGAAAAGCATTACTTTAAGTTCTCTCTTCAGGGTCAGGTAAAAGTATTTTTTTAATGAGAAAAAATATGGACTATTTTCACATAAAAGAAATGTTAAAACAAGTAGGAATAATAAAAGAAGCAGAGCATCCAAAGCCAACCAAAACAGAAGAGCCCATCTTACTCCTGGTCCAGTCACTTTACTAGATTTATGTATTTTTGAGTATATATTTCCAAGATTATATTCCCCTCATTTTAAGGAATTGAGATGATATATTTAAAAATACGAATATTAAAAATGAAGCTGTTATGCTTTGGCTTCACACATTCTCTTGGAAAGTTTTGAAAGTAAACCAATGAGACTCAGGTGTTTAAGTGCCTCCTATTAGTTAAGACTGACTTGTTGTCAGCACTTACCAGGCTCATAGAAAATGGGTAAAATTAGATGTGTCATACTGCAATATACATGTTCTTCCCATTGTCAGTACCAATATTTGGAAGATTAATTGAATTGTAAGACTGATTTTTGTCATTTTAAATATAACTGAAGAAGAGTGGTATGTTTATGAAACATGAAATTCGAGAGTCTATTAAATATTATGTGTGTCTGTGTGTTCTATGGCTTATATCATGAGATTTTGCCCTTTCCATAAGAAGTGTGCTAATGGGAGTTTGATCAACATTAATTTCATATGAATTTTCTCAGGAACCCCCCTCACAGCTAAAAGTGATTTCTTTGTGGTCATAGATGCCCTTAAGCAAGAAGGTTTGGGCTGTTTTGCTTCTGTATATGTGGAATGAGTGCTCTAGGGAAGTCTCTGCAGACTTGAGTAAAATTCATTATTGAGATTATCTCAGATTTTAATGTTTGAGGTCCTAACCCTTCTGTGCTACCATTCCTAAAGAAGAAGCAAAGAGAAATTCTTCCACAGGAGAAGCTTTTAAAACATTTTATTTTTAGATATGGAAGAAGCCTTGGTATTTTGTACCAATATAAAATAGCTACAATCATATAAATACCCAATTTTTTTGTCACAGATTATGAAAAATTAGAATTTTGGACTTTTTGATGACCTCATTTTTTTCATTTTAATGTCACTTATTTTAGTAGAGTGGTTTTAGCATGCAAGAAAAGTTCATAGTCTTGTGGGTGCTTAAAGCTGTTTAAAACTTTTCAAAGGAAGAGTTGCAGCAATTTAAAGCCAATTTAAAGAGTACATTTTGTTGTACACATGGTGCATATTATCTGCTGTAATAAAATGTGTTTGAAGCTGGTTTTATGCGTGTGAGTTATATGAGGAATGTATGTTGTAAGCATGGAATTATAGTCATAATTTTGTATATAGCTCATGGATTCCACACTCAGCTCGTTAGTGTGAATCTAGCCAGGCACTCTTGTTAGCAGCAGTGAACATTGTCTGCTTGTAGGATCTTTCCAAGATGGAGTTTCCTCATGAAACTGAGCAAACTGACCATGTTCTCTTCCTGGGGTATGACAGCATGGGGGGCAGCTTTAAGCCAGGCCCCACACTGTGTCTCCAGAAGGGAGAGGGAGCAGAAGCTTGGGCACCTGGAAGAGTCTGCACCGCATGACTTGTGTCTGGGCTAAGTGAAGTTCACGCTCTGGCTGCATCCTAGGAGCACCTGGGCTCAGTGTGTTTCAGGTTATTATAATGCCATGCCCAAACAGGGCAACTTTGGTTTGTTTTTTCTTCTGTAAAAGAAGCCCAGTGCTGGGAGCCCTGGGGTGCCTTGGTTACCAGGGATTTGAATTTCTTCCATTCCCAGGATCATCTGTTGGTCCAGGGTGGCTTCTGGAACTTCAGCCCTCACATCTGCAGTTGAGTCAGGACCAGAAGGAGCCTTCCTCGAAGTCACACCCAGAACAGCACCTACTTAGATCTTATGTCTGTCATTCCAGACTGCAAAACAGGATGAGAAATCCAGGAGTTTCGTGGAGCATTCTGTTGCTCAGAGCAAAACTGGGCTTCTTTTAGTAAAGCATTGAAGAATGGTTATTGGATTGGCAATGAGCAACATTTTGTATTCTTGCAAACTTTAGAAAACTCCCTTCTGGGTTGGTAACAGTGTTGGGAAGGTCTGGTGGCAGATAGGGATGACTCCTCTCTGGCTGAAATTTGATTCAGTGACATCTCCAAGTGCTGTCCACAGTTTCAGGCACCCATCCTTAGTGTGCTTAGGGTCACAGGCTGACTGCAGCAGCTCTTATGTGCAGATGTGGCTTTCAGGGAAGGAGAGGGTGAGTCTCCCATGTCTCTTAGTAGGGTAAAGCTTTCCTAGAAGCATGTACCTGCACTCCCTCCCTAGTCCCAGCTCCCCTCGCTGTCCCCTTGCTGGGGTAAAAACCCTAGTTCATGGTTTTAGACCCTGGATCCTGGGCCTGCATGCTTACTTTGAGATAAAATTATATTCAACAGAGATAGGGCTGTGCATACTCTGGGAGGAAAGAGGAATGAGTGTAGGTTGATAGTTATTTGTATGTGTGTGGGGGTGCTTGTGTATTTATTACTGAAAAGATGTAGAAAACATGTAGTTATGTTTGTTAAATATTATTTTCTTATTTATAAAGTATTTGTCACTTGTACTATCTCGCTATGAAATATAAACATTTAAAATGATAGAAAAAGCATGTGTCTGTTAATCCATTTTCTGTCACTATAACAGAATACATGGAGTTGGGAATTTAATAAAGAAAACAGATTTATTAGCTTGCAGTTCTGAGGTAAAAGGACATGGCGCCAGTACTGACTTCCTTCTAGTTAAGGACCTGACAGCAGGTGGTAGAAAGCTGTGTGAGAGGAAGAAGGCACATGGCAAGACAGGGAGCCAGAGAGAAGGGATTGTCCGGTCTCCTTTTTGTTTGTTTGTTTTTATAGCAAACTACTTGTAAGAATGAGCCAGGTTCCCTGAAAACTGTATCCGTTTCTGGGGAAAGGCCTGTCAGAGTTCCCACCACTCTTTACACTGCACTGGAGACCAGTTTCTCCCATGAACCCACCCAGACTACAACAGTGGATATAGTGTTAGTAATTCAAGCAGAGCTAGTTGTCCCAGCCCTAGTGCTGTTGTTCCTATTTATTTATTTACTGTCGGTTGTGGGGCTTGAACACAAGGCCTGGGCGCTATCCCTGAGCTCTTTAACTCAAGACTGGTGCTCTCTTACTTTGAGCCACAGCTCCACTTCCTTTTTTTGATTGGTTAATTAGAGATAAGAGTCTCATGGGAACTTTTCTACCTAGGCGGCTTCAAACTGTGATCCTCTGTTCTCAGCCTCCTGAGTAGCTAGGATTACAGGTGTGAGCCACCAATGCCTGGCCTGTTCCTCTTCCTCTTCCTCCTCCCCCTTCTCCTCTTCCTCCTTTTCCTCTTCTTCCTCTTCTTTCTCAACTCTTCCTGTCCACAACCACCACCACCACCACCACCTCTTTTTTCTTTATGGTAGCAGGGTTTGATCTCAGGACCTTGCACTCTCACTCTTTCTTGCTCATGGATGGTACTCTACCACTTGGGTAGAGCACAGCTTTTTTCTGGTTAATTGAACATGGAATCTGATGAACTTTTCTTCCTGAGCTGTCTTTTTTGAACTTTAATCCTCCAGATTAACTATGAATAGCTGACATGATAGATATGAATCACAGACACAGTGGAATTATTAAGTAGAATTATTAACCCACAGATCTCTCTCTATATATTTTCATGTTGATAGCTACAACTTACCTTCTAAAGGATTCTTCTAATTTGAGCTTTCACTAATAGTTAAGGAAAAGACATTAAAGGTTACAGTATTGGTCAGTCAGTGGCTCAGATCTTAGCTAGTATCTTTGGAGGAAGCCAATTTTTCCTTACAGTGTTGTAGTGGGAAAGAATTAGTATCAGGTTTCTAACTCCAATGAGTTATTTTTTAAATTTGAAAGTGTTTGAGACAGTATATATATATATATATATATATATATATATATATATATATATATATGATGTAGACTTAAATAATACTATATACTTTATAATACTATATTACTTTATGATTAAATATCTATCTTTATTTTTAAATTATAGGTGTTTGGCCTACGACTGAGAGAGAAGATGATTTGGAAGTTTCTGTCACAGTTTCTCCTAACTTTGATTCAGTGTCTGTAGGTGTATTTACATATTTTGAATTGAGATAAAAATGTATTGATTTAAACTAGTCCCTTAAAAACTTCAAGGAAGAACCTGAAAACTCATGTTCCATGCCTGTGATCCTGTCTCCTCTAAGACTCCTCTAAGACTCCTCTAAGACTGAGGATCATGGTTTTTTTTTTTTTTTTTGGTCGGTCATGGAGCTTGAACTCTGAGCCTGGGCTCTGACCCTCAGCTCTTCAGCTCAAGGCTAGCGCTTTACCACTTGAGCCACAGAGCCAATTCTGGTTTTCTGAACAGTTTATTGGAGATAAGAGTCTCACAGACTTTTCCTGCCTGGGCTGGCTTTGAACCATGGTCCCCAGATCTCAGCCTCCTGTGTAGCTAGGATTACAGGCGTGAGCCACCGGTGCCCAGCTTATGGTTTTATTTATTTTTTATTTATTTAATTTTATTTTTTGTCAGTCATGGAGCTTGAACTCTGGGCCTGAGCGCTGTCCCTCAGCCTTTCAGCTCAAGGCTATAGCGCTCTACCACTTGAGCTACAGTGCTACTTCCAGTTTTCTGATGGTTTATTGGAGATAAGAGTTTCATGAAGTTTCCTGCCTGGGCTGGCTTTGAACCGTGATCCCCAGATCTCAGCCTCCTGAATAGCTAGGATTACAGGCGTGAGCCACCGGCACCTGGCGGATCATGGTTTTAGAAGGTAGTCTAGGCAGAAAAATCCATGAGCAAAAAAGCTGTGCAGTAAGGGTGGCTCAAAAAATAGAGGCACCAGCTATGAGCAAGAAAGCTGAGCTAACACAAAGCCTAGACTTAAATCTCAGAACCTGCACAAAAGCAAACCCCTAAAACTTCAGACTTAGGCTTTGTTACTTCATTTTAGACAAAACATTTCTGTTCTCTCAGTACAAATAAGGAGCTTCTTAGGCAGGATTTCCACTCAGAAAAATAGTCAGGGGAGAGAGGAGAAGTAGTAGAAAAGGTTCTCAATCTTGTTCTGATCTGCCTTATTTCTTAGTTTTATGAGTACCACAGTATTGAGATAATTTCAATCTAGATGAATATCTTACTTCACAAGACTTCATTGAAGGTTCAATGAGATTGGTATAGTGTGGGTCCTGGTAGGGAAAGGCCCCAGTGCAGTAGTATGACATCACAGTGCATGATCCAGTTCCTCTCTGAATTTCATGTCTCTTCCTAGCTCCATTTCTTTGGGCCACTATTTTTTTCCATCATAGGAAATTTCTTGACATCACATATTCGTTCTATTGGAAAACATTTGCCCAACAATTTATGTGGCTATGATGCCATAGTGTCTTCTTTATAGCCATTTCCCTGACTATAGCTTCATGTTCTGAAAGGACTACTACTCTTGAAATATCTAGGTCTGTAGCCGTGGATTGCAGGAGGCATTGGTGTCTCTGCTAGATCCACAGGTAACAGAATCTGAAACATTTCCTGCATTTTAGATGATACAGTACTAGAAAAAAAGCCTTAATTCATATTTTATTTTGAATCTCTTATAAAAGCACACATCTCAAAAACATATAATTTATATGAATGGAGTCTTTTGTAGTGGAAACAAGCTTTCCTATTTCTGTCTTTCTGATTGAGCAGCTGGATCAGAGTTAAAATATGATTTTCGATGGAATCTTAAGTAGGATATGAACCTCCTGTTGAGGACCATGGTTCATTTCTATAATCCTAGCTACTTGGTAGGCTGAGACAGGGAAGATTGAGGTTTGAGGCCAGCCTAGGCAGAAAAGCTTCATCTTAACAGAGGGAAGCTGGATGTGGAGGTGTGACCTTAATTGTCCCAGGGGAGACAATAATGTGGGTATTATTAGAAAATATAGGGCTGGGAAAGTGGCTCAGTGGTAGAGCGCTTGTCTTGCATGCCTGAGGCCCTGAGTTCGATTCCTCAGCACCAAAAAACAAAAAGAAAAAAGCCAGAAGTGGCGCTGTGGCTCAAGTGGTAGAGCGCTAGCCTTGAGCTGAAGAGCTGAGGGACAGCGCCCAAGCCCAGAGTTTAGGCCCCACAACCGGACCCCCCCAAAAAAAGAAAATATATTGCCCATTGATCTTATTCTATCATATTGAGCATTTCCCCTTTTCAGTGTATCACTGTCATTGTGCCAAGTTATAAGTAGATATCCACATTCTTTAAGAGGCTAGACCAGGTAACCTAAACTAATACTCATAAAAGGCCTATTGAAATTGTTTATGAAATACTCTAATAAAACTCCATATTTACCTTCTAAATGTGATGCTGCTGAACATATCATTAGCCATATAACTTAGATAATGTTATTAATCCAAATAAAATGAACCTCTTATGTAATAGTGTGGCATAGGGTTTCCTGGGAAATACAGAGGAAAGTTCTTCTCATATATAAAGAACAAGGTAATAGAGTCTTCCACCATTTCAGCAAATTTGGAAATACAATGGTCTGATCAAATGCCCAGTTCCTTTTTGAGGAGTGGGTTTCTGAATATTACCTCATGATTGTTAACATTCAGATTGTAAACATGGTTGCACTGACTCTGTAGTCTATCATTAGGGCAGTTAAGTTCTTTCTGCTTTGTCCCTTAATTGAAGGTGGAAAGTATACATTGTATCAGTGTAGTCACTTATGCTGAGTAATATTGAAATCCCATTTTTCTACTTTTTCTTCTCAATTCTGTGTCTACAGCAAGCCATTGATGTTGAACTTGGAACCGACCTTGTCCCTTCTATCACAGTTAAGGTATGGTACCAGATTTTAGACTGTACTTATGTGCAAACAATACTGTATATTTCCTCATGTCTGTCTCTATTGTTTCCCAGAAGCAGTTTGGGAAAATTTTAGGGGCCAGCCTTGGGACCTTGAGTAGTAAAGGAAAAATATAAAATGGATTATTGCACTTAGAGCAGTATGTATATGGTGTGAATAATGATAATGCCTTTCCTCTCATTTAAGTGCCTAATATGGCCTGTTCTTCTTGTCTCTAGAAATCAATTTGGTTTTTTTCAGTCAGCTATAGGGATGGTATCGTCATTCATAGTAGCCTAGTCTGTTTACTGTAGTATGGTTTACTGTAACATGGTCATAGTCAGCTGTGATGTGACGATTGCTTACAGCACCATTCTTGTATCTGTGACTGTGTGTTTGAAAAAAATTCCCATTTATATGCCACAATGTTAGCTTTAAATGGATGTATTTTTAGCAAGAAAATACAAAATGAAGAAGCCACAAAGTAGAGTAATGACAAATTGATAGTCCTGGAAAAATAGAATGTGGAGGATGTGGTTTTGGTTAAGATTTTCAGTCCTGTCATTGTGGACTTTAAGAACTAGAACTCAAATGTAGAGCCCTCTTAAGGCATTTAGGTTAAAGTGTGGTAATCAGTCAGCACATTATTAAGCTGAAAATATTTATCACTGCCCAGACCTTGGGAGCCAAGACAAGTTGTGGATTTTGGCGTTTCATGTAGTCCAAACTTGGACGAGACTTTGTATTTTCTTAGATTATGAGTTGCTGTCCTTGGAGCAACTTAACAGGGAGCCAGGCTTTACCAATTGTGTTCGCTTACACTGGACCAGCGGGTGGCCCAAGTGTGGAGATCTTTGGTCAAAGTTGAAGGCAGCCCATCTTACAACAGTTTCCTAAGCTAATTATTTTGGATTCTTGCCACTGGAAACAAGGGTGGTCTTTCCCCAGTCTGCCTTCCCCTGTTCAATCAAAGGCTCAATCTCATTAATACTTCTAAGTGTGGAAAGACATTAGTGGCAAGAAATCAAACAAGAATAAAAGTATGAAGTTCCAGGAATGATCTGTACCTTTGTGTGAGGAAAACCTGTTTTATACCTGTGTGATAACATTGCAAAGACACAGGCACATAAGAATTCAGGAGCACAATGCAAATGCTAAAAGAAGTCTTGTGCCTAAAGCAGATCAAGTTGCTCTGGCTATACTGCATCTCAGATTCATCATGCTAGATGGTTTTGAATCTCAGATTCAGTGTAGATATAGCCACCTAGAATGATGGCTAACACTACTGGAGAATCTTTCTCTGTTACTCAAGTGCATTTACTGCATTTGAGAATGCCTAGGTCCCAGTTCTCTTACAGCCATTGTGAAAGCACAGGGAGAATACAATAGGGTTTTTGGTTGGTCTTACATAGCAGACATGGCGGTTTCCTCACCCTGTCTCACAGTTTCTATACAAATTTCAGCTATAAATCTCCTCTTATAGCCTTTTATAACAACGGCAGCCAAGATACATAACCATGCAAGTTTCCATCGTAATAAATCCTGTTAATTGAGAAAAATTTTCCATCCGTTCCAAGTGAATGAAGATGTGGCTACCTTGAATATGTGTGCCTGATGCGTGACCATCCATTCCAGGCAGCAGGGCCGAGAGGTGGTTCATACCTGGCCTTTGGAGCCATATTTAGACATCTAGGATGAAAAAAAAATTGGTATTATATTTCCTAGGGATTAGATTTCATTTCGTTAGAAGAGGAAAATAGCATGGAAAATTCTTATATTAACATTTTATATTTTCTCCTTAATATTCTATAATTATTTTCCTCTTAAAATACAAGGTTTATGATTTAGCCAAGTCTGTAACTCTCCTTTTGGCTCCCACACAGCCATTCTTTGTTACTGTAGTTATTTTGGTCCCATCTCTTTGATTTGTGTTTTGCAGATTGTTAGGGTTTGATAAATCTGTGTATGGAGCTATCATGATTATGCATCTGAATCTAATGCACAGCCTCCTGGTAACAATGCAGAGCTGTGTGATTTGTGTCAAAGTAGACACCATTATGCTGGGCAGAGTCAGAATGTCTGTCCTTTACAAACCACGCATTGCCACTGGAAGGAGTTTCATTTTCCCATAAGTAAAGTAAACTTAACAGACATTCCTGGTCTCCATGTCTAGCTTTCCAGCATTATTGGCTCAGTCGTCATGGTTTTTTTGTTGTTGTTTTGTTTTGTTTTTTGCTTGTTGTTTTGTTTTTTGGGGGCTTCTCTGAACCTCTATTTTCAAGTTGTAACATGGGACTCCTTTCTCATCTGTAAAGTTACTTTGTGATTCAAATATTGCTGGTGAAAGGCCTGAACTTAGAGTCTGGCAAACAGAGGTTGAATTGTGCCTTTTCCACCAATGTTACAGTGACCTTGGACACCTCACTTAGCCCTGTGAGCCAGGTGTCTCCTTTGTCCAATGCACGTGACAGTACTTACATGATATATTGCACATAACTGAATTACTTTCCTGGTTCATGAATATAAAAATGTGTTATGACTGTTATTAATTTTATATAAAAGTATGTATGCATACCAATACTGTTATTGTTAATAGAAACATACTTACATCGGTTCTGTTTGCTTACCAGACTAACTAGCTGTTTGAGAAATGGTAATCCATGTCACACATCATTTCTTCCTGTCATAGCTACCATTAAGATTCTACTAAAGAGGTGCTAGGTTGTTTACCGGACTCAGACATCCTTGAGGAAGTTTTATTTGTTTTGTACCAATTATTTCATGTTCTAACAGAGTTTACAAAGTGCAAGCAAGAATCCGTTGTTCATTTGCTGTGGTTATTATATTTGTTTGCATCAGTAATTCTCTTTTAAAACTTTTACAGGTCAAAATTTTTATTTTAGATTTGTTTATATGCTTATATGTATCTACATATGTTTATATAATGCATGCCTTAAAGTTAATACAAGACATTTCTGACTCTTAACTGTATGTATATAATATTAAGGCATCAGTGATGCATACCCTTTACTTAAAAACTATCATTTTTAAGAAATAAGAATGTATTTGCACTTCATTAGTGAATAATGATATGTGTAACCTGGTAAGAAGGCAGAACCACTTCATAGCACATAGGAGAGCAAGGGATAATCACCCAGTGATTCTTGGTTGTGTGTAAGAGTCCCCTGGGAGCTATATAAGTACCAGTATTGTGTCTGCCCTGGAGGTTCTGACTCAGTTGGTCCGGTTTACCACAGCAGCCATATGTGATGAAGTCATCTAATGGAGTCTATACAACCAAGCAGAACTTTTAGAAGACCAAATCCAAAGAGATAACTTGGCCAGTGGAGGCCAAGTCTTTATGCTTCTCTCTGATAGCCTGAAAATAAAGCCCTTAACTCTGCAGCCCAGTAAAGATCCTTGAGGCTGATAATTTTTCCTGACATTGTCAGAGGAGGGAGAAAGTCCTGGCTTTCTGTACGTACACTTACACTCTGTCCCAGGCCAGCTCTTGCTCCATACAGCCTAGCTATCAATTTTTTCAGCACCAGGGGATTTTTTTTAGTGTCACCAATCACCTTAGAATTGGAACAACTAATCTTGCTATTGTTTGATACTTTTCAAATTAGTTATGCCATATATTTTTGTGAACAAAATGCAAGACTTTGATATGTATCTAGCCTAATGAAAATCCACGTAAGTATGGGAATCATAAGAAAATCATTAGCTCATGTAAAAAAAGAAGTATATTGAAACTAGACAAGATAAATAATTGACAACAGTATGACTATAATAAGAACAAACCCCTTTATTTCAGGAGGCAGTTATTCAGTAGCCATGAGGGCAGGGTTATCTTTTTGAACAGCCTTACTAAGATATAAGTAACACATACTCTACAGTGCTCCCCCTTTGATGGTTCATAGTGTCTTTTCAGAATTGTCCATCTACACCACATCCAATTTTAGAATGTTTGCTTCTCTTTCAAAGAAACATCATACCCATTAATTGTTCCTCATCCCTCTCACTTTGAAGCAACTGCTACTTTATTTTATTTTTCTGTAGATTTGCCTGGTCTCTACCCTTCCTATAGAGTTATGCATAAGTGTTCTTTGCGACTGGGTTCTTTCACTTAGCATAATGTTTTTTCAAAGGTTACTTATGTCACATAGCAAGTGTTAGTATTTCATTTTAGGATTTTCTTTGGCAAAATCATTATTTGATTGCAAAGAGATATCCCAATTTCTTTATCAGCTTATTGTGATGATATTTGGATTATTTACACTATTATGGAAATGTGGCTACACCTTTGTTCAAGTATTTGAATTGGGTGTATGTTTTCATTTCCCTTGGGATGGAATTGTGAGGTAGTGTAAACTTTATGCTGAACTGTTTGTTCTTCAATGGCTGCACTGCTCTGCATTCCTAGTAACAGGACGTGAAGATTCCAGTTCTACTGCGCCAGTACTCACACCTAAAGTCCTTAACATGTACAGTTTAGTGTGTCTTTGTGGCTTCAGTCCTTATTTCCTTAATGGTTAAAAACTACTACACATCTCTGTACATGCGTAATGTTTATCTTTTAAAAGCTTTCTTTGGAGAAAAATCTGCTCAACTCTTTTGCCCAGTTTGTACTCATTCTTATATTACATGTTCTGTTTTGTAACTACTTATTTTCTCAGGTTTCCAATTATTTATTAGTGATTTTTTTGGTGGTTGTGACAGCCTGCTTGGATAAAACATAATTTTATATTAATGAATACTGTGTTTCCCTAGGTTACATTGCAGAATCGAGTGGTATTGCAGAAAGCCAAATTGTCTGTCTATGTGCAGCCACCATTAGTATTGACTTGTGATCAGTTCACCTTTGAATTTATGGGTAAGATTTTCATTCTAGTTTGAAGTCACTCATGGTGTGAGGCCTTCAAAAATATTATTAGTGCTTATTTCATGGCAAGTTTCTTACCTAAACAGTGAGACAGACCTTTCTAAAATCAATGACCGTGTTGTTTTGCTTGTTGTATTTTCCCTCCAAGTATCAAGCATAGATATTTAATCAGTAATTGTTTAGGATCTCAGATTTCTAAATGCTTTCCTTAACTAGTTGGACCTATTATTATATAATATTATAATTTGCATAGCTTTCTTTATTGTATTGCCAATGACCTATTTATGGAATCAGTATGTTAGAAGAAAGCTCAGTGGCTTTGAAGTTTGGCCTGATTTGAATCCTGCCTCTTAAACTCACTTGATGTGTAATTGGAAAAGTACTTTACTAATCACTTGGAGACTCAACTATTTTAATTGGCAAAAAGAGGATAATAATATCCATGTTTCAGGGTTGTTTGAGGATTTAATTAGAAAATGAACCTATATAAAATATCTGTAATAATGTCTGAAAGAGTAGACATGTCCTAAGTGGCCATGCTTAGCAAGATTTCTTTATATAGTATCTCTCATTCCCAACCACTTACACTCAAGGCATCATTAGCTGTGTTAAAGGGATGGTTTAGTTATCTTTCAAGCCTCTCTATTTTTCAGGTTAGCTTTTTAGCCAAGGCTTCTGTCTCTTTCATGGGTCTCTGCATAACAGGCCTTCCCTGGGTGTCTGACACTCGTGGGAACTCAGTAAATATTCTCAAATGCATGATTGAGTGTTGTAACTTTGTAGATGATGCTCAACTACTGAATTCTCCATTTCTAATTTGCAATACTTCCAATTTATCTTTTAGAAACATATTTAGAACAACTTTGTATTATAATTCAAATTCTCCAATGCCTTTTTAATGCATATTGGAGGACAAATGGCTTACACAGAAAGGCATGCACCTACAACATGGTTATTCACAAGCTGTCAAAGATGTGAGGAAGTACTGCTCTGCCCCTACCTTCATTTGTCCTGCTGAGCCTATTTCTCTGCTTCATTGTCTGAGGAAAGAGGAACAGGTGGTAGAGTGGTAGATACCACATTTGTCAGTCAGTTACTACCCCTGTTATTAGCTAGGTAACCTTACTTTCTCTGAAGTCTGGTTTTGTGATACATGGTACCTTCCTTGTAGGTTGTTGTGAAGATTATGTTACTCCATGCAGAAATGCTTGTGGCAGCATGTGGCATATTGTATGTGCCTCATGAGCTTTAGCTAATATTGTCCCCCCATGTAAGTTATGCTGCTTTTACATTTCTTACAGAACCAGAGATGACTAGCACAGTGGCCTTCTCTGTGTATCTGAGAAGAAGTTACACACCTTCAGAATTGGAAGGAAATGCTATTGTCTCTTACACCAGACCAACAGGTAAACATGGAGTGATTCATATCCACTCTCACTGAATATTGGGCTTGAATTGAGCAGTAAGGCAAGAGAAGATAACAAAAGAAATACAAACAGGAAAGGAAAAAGTCAGCTTATTTGTATTTGCAAATGATAAGGTCCTATACTTGCGCCAAAAATATCTTAGGTCAGCAAAATTATATGAAATCAATATACAAAAAAGAATAGATTTTTCTAGTCCCATTCATAATAACCCCAAAAAGCTAAATACTTACAAGTAAGCCTAACTAAGGAAAGATGAATGAAGTAAAAACTAAAACTTTGAAGAAAGAAATGGAAGATAATAGAAGATGGAAAAGCCTACCATGTTCATGGATCAACAGAATAAATCCTGTGAAAACAGTATTAATTCTAGTATTAATTTGTAGCACTTTACAAATTCAGTACAATCCACATAAAAATTCCAATGTTATTCTTCACAGAAAGGAAGAGCTGGGCACTGGTGGCTCATGCCTGTAATCCTATGAGGCTGAGATCTGAGGATTGCAGTTCAAAGCCAGCCTGGGCAGGAAACTCCCTGAGACTCTTATCTCGAATAAACCATTAGAAAACCAGAAGTGGTGCTGTGAGACTCTTATCTCGAATAAACCATTAGAAAACCGGAAGTGGTGCTGTGCCTCAAGTGGTAGAGCACTTGCCTTGAGCTGAAAAGCTGAGAGATAGCGCCCAAGCCCAGAGTTCAAGCCCCATGACCAACACAAAAAAGAAAGAAAGGAAGAAAAATAGAAAGAAATTTTAAATCAATTTAAAACTTATATAGAAACATAAAAGACCCCAAATAACCAAAGCCATCCTGAGCAAAAAAGAGCAATGCTAGAGGTATCATGATTGCTCATTTCAAATTATACCATAAAGCCATAAAAACCAAAACATTGTTGTACTGGCACAAAACAGGCACATAGATCACTAAAAGAACAATAATCCAGTTAACAAATTGGCAAGATGAATGGATAAAGAAAATGTGGTATATATACACAATGGAATTCTATGCCTCCATCAGAAAGAATGACATTGTCCCATTTGTTAGGAAATGGAAAGACTTGGAAAAAATTATATTAAGTGAAGTAAAGCCAGGCCCAAAGAAACATAGGTCCCATGGTTTCCCTTATTTGCAAAAGGTCAGATAAGTTGATGTTAGGGAAATGAACCCTAAGATATGTATTCAAATGTTCTTTTTTCTTTCATGTGATTGTTTCTAACACATTTATAAGATGATTTCTTTGTTGCTTTATATGTCCCTCCCCCACAGTATAACCCCTGCTTTCACTGTATTTGATGTCAGTATAATTTGTGGAGGGGAAGGGGAAAAACAAATCGTTTAAATAGGGATACAGGTGGACCCATTGCAACAATGAGATGTACAAGTCCTTATGTCGAAAATGAACTTTACAACTTTGGTGGGGCGGGGGGAAGGATTGGGTGGGGGGGAGGATAGGAAGGGATGGGAAGGGAAACAAAGGAGGAGGCTACAATGCTTGATAAGAAATGTACTCATGGGCTGGGAAGGTGTCTTAGTGGTAGAGAACTTGCCTTGCATGCCTGAGGCCCTAGGTTCCATTCCTCAGCACCACATAAGCAAAAAGAAAAGCCAGAAGTGGCGCTGTGGCTCAAGTGGTAGAGCGCTAGCCTTGAGCTGAAGAGTTGAGGGACAGTGCCCAGGCCCAGAGTTCAGGATCCACGACCAGACCCCTCCAAAAAAAAAGAAACCAAGCAGTGCTAGATGCTGGTAGTTCAAGTCTTGAATCCTAGCTACCTATGAGGCTGAGATCTGAGGATCATGTTAAAGCCAGCCTGGGCAAGAAAATCCATGAGACATTTATCTCCATTAAAACTACCAAAAAGCCAGAAGAGAGCTGTAGATCAAGTGGTAGAGTGGTAACATTGAGCACAAAATCTCAGGAACAGCACCCAGGCCCAGAATTCAAGATGTAGGTCCTGAAAAAAAAAAAAAGGAAAGAAACTAAGCCATAAAATGCTGTCAAAGATGAAGGGAGAAAGGAACCACCATTACCTACTGTTGGTGGTAATATAAATGAGTTCAGTCACTGTGGAAATCAGTGAGGAAGTTCCTTAAGAAAGTAAAAACAGAGTTGCATATGGTCCTGTTATACTATTCTTATGCATATCTCAACTAATGTGTTAACTGAGCATGCAAATGAGATGCCTTCACACTTATAGTAGCACTATTCACAATAGCTGTGGAATCAGCTTGGTTGCTCATCAACTGATAAAGAAAATGTCTCTCTTTTTCTCTCTCTCACACACACTCCCCCCACATACGAGTATATGCATATTTGCAGGAAAAGGGATGAAACTGGAGATCATTGTGTTAAGCGAATATACTAGGCATAGAAAGACAAGTATTGCATGACCTCCCTCAAATAGAGAATATAGACCAAATATACGTGCAGGAGTGTAAAACAGAGACTGTTTATTGAAGGGAGAACAGTTGGAAGATGGTGAAAGGAGAAGGTAATGGGGAAGTACATATGATCAGTGACTTTATATGCATGTGTGCAAATGACATGAACCTTGTTAACAGATGTTCTAAAAAGGTGGGGAGGGGGGCAGAAGAAAGAGTAATAGGCTGAATTTAATCAAAATACCTTATACACATGTATAAGACATATATATATATATACACAGTGGATATATACTATATGTAATATTTATAATGTATATATATATATATAAACCCCACTGTACAAATAATATATAGTATTTTAAAATGAGAAGTTGTAAAATCAATCTGTTAGCTCATGGCTGCATATTCCATTTTGTGTTATTATGCTTTTCAGTAAATAGAACTTAAAAAATTATAAATAGTGCTCCAACATAGGAAGGTTAGATATTGATTAACTGAATGCAGGTTATAAATTATTGTTAAAGGGGAATAAGAGGAATAAAAAAATATAACAGAAGGGTTGAATTTGACCAGAGCACATTATGTGCTTATATGGAGACATCACAGAAAGCTCTTTGTCCAATTAGTATAGTCTAATATAAACTATGTTGAAAACTAATGTGAAAAGTATAGAAAGGTAATGAATACCAAGATAAGCCCTCAATTCCCCAAATGAACATGACTCTGTGATAGTAGGATCTACTAAAATTGTTTTTAGGCACATAGCTGAAAATCCTAGTGTGTTTTTGGATTTCACTCAGTTTTCATTCACTCACCTTCTTTCATATCATATGGATTGAAGACTTTTGCTGTTTGGTAGAACATAGATCTTTTCTTCTTTTTACCATGTGTGGACCGGAATAACGCTCTCACACTGGCATCTGAGAGTAGAAGTGTGAGCTCATTGTTGGATTTCATTTATTTGAGTAGTACTCTTCAAATATGGAGATGTGTTTGACTGGTGGTCTGACTGATGGTTTTGCTGGTTATCTGTGATGACCTTGAAAATTTCAATGTTATTTTAGCAGAGGTATATTAAACTAGTGTTTTAATTTTACCATCGATAATTTCATGTGTTCTCTCCCTCCAACCCCTTTATCCATTGCTTCTGCTGGATAGATCGAAATCCTGATGGTAAGTGAAGAATAGTTTAGGACAGAACTAGTTTCAAAATTAAAATTTTTGATGGGTTGAATGGGTTTTATACTGTGAATGGACTCTTCATAAACTTCTAAGTATGCAAGTTCTTGAGGATAACTCAATAATGGACCCTGTCTTGGAGAGCAGTGTATACCTTCCCATGGAGAATTTTTGATTAAATGAGAAACCATCAAAGATATCATTGACAACTTATTGAAAATCATTGCTTGCCACTTGCATATTCTGTTTTGCTTTACTCAAGGTAATTGAAAGAATAAGGAAAAAAGAAAGTGGTGTGTCAGAATCTTAAATGATTTTCTCCACTTTTTGCATATTATAATACATACATGGTACCACACTATGATTTAATAAGACAAATTTTAAGTATCAATATTGGTCATTAATGATTAACCATAATTAAAGCACTTATAAGACTGCAGTACTTATTCCAATAGGCTTGATAATGCTAATACTTAGCACATTTCATGATATCTGATATATCATGAAAAGTGCCTGGCAGGGTCTGAATAGAGGTGAATGCTTAGCTTGACATAAAATTTACTTGTCAAGTTAGAATTTAGGTAGTCAAAACACAGTTTGATAGTCATAATAAATATTTTTTAACATTCAGGATTATGTTTAGTTGTTAACATTTTGGGTTATGTTTTGTGAACACCACAATATGATTTAGATGAGTAAGTTTGAAAGATTAATGAAGGTTATTGTTGAGAGACATTTTTTTCCTTTCTGTCAACTCAGCCCAAACAATGAGAAAAATAATCATATTAGGGAAAAATTAATGTTTCAATTCAGGAGTAATGGTTTCGATACACTTAAAATTCCAGTGAAACTTCAAGGAGCAGAGTTGAGATGCTGGGCAAGAACCTGATATGCTGCCACGTAGGTCTGTCTTCCACACAGGGCTTCATGTTTCAAAGGCGAGTGTTTTATCGTCCTGGGGTGTTTGGCCTGCTGGGATAGCAGGTCTGCTTTCACATGAGGAAAGGGAGGCTACTGTGGTTTTATGTTGTCCCCTAAGACTTTGTCTCCATTATTTCTGCATTAAAGTTACATGACAGAGCAGTGTAAAACAGGATTGTAGATGAAGCGCAGTGTGTAGCCAGACAGAACAGGAAAAGATCACGGAAGTGCTGGCTACCAGACCCTGCTACTGCTCCGAGTGCCCTGTCTTCATAAGAAATGACTCTAGCAGGCCCTGGAAAGCTTTCTGAGGTATTATGTACATGTGTCATGTATAGATGTATAGACGGGGCAAGTTCTACTCCATGCAGATGCATTTTCTGGAGTAGAACTTGACAGGAATCCTGGGTTTTGGGGTATGCCAGGTAGAATTAAAATTAACTTTCTGGAAAAATGATTCTGTCAGGAAAGGTTTCAATGTGTGTTGAATAATTTTGTGATGGATTGTCCCCCCACCCCCAGTCATTGTGACTACCCACTTCCACTGGTAGGCTCTAGGGGAAGGGAAGTTGAGGGAAAGTGACTGTATTTGGTTAAAAAAATAAGGCAACTCTCAAATGCTGCAGAACAATGTCGGTCTGATGAACGACTAGGTCAGTAGCTAAGTAAAATAACAAAGTTTTCTTTTTTCTCATCTGAGAGAAAATGGAGAACATTTGATAAGGTAAGTATAGAGACTGTTTTTCCAGCCACAGGAGGTACTCTGGCTGATGGGAGCAGAGTTAGAATCAGTTAGGCACTTTCTGTGAGCAACCTTGACGTCTTTAATTTGCATGTGATTATTTACTTCTTCGTTATAGATACCTGCATATACCCCTGTCTGCCTCTATGGCTCTTTGGTTTCAGGTTCTTCAATATAGTTATAGCCTGAAGAGTAATTAAAACCCAATTTCACTTCAAGTTTCTCAAGGAACTGTAAATCTCAATAGGAACTTGCTCTCGGAAGACCCATGTCTCAACACTAGAGACTGTATTTCAAAATGCTTAGATTTTGATTTGATAGGATGTTCCATAAAATAGTAGCTTTTCTAAGTTTTCTGTTAAAGGTATGGTTTCCTTATTCTGGATTTCATTTTCTTTTCCTCCTAATGCTAAAATGGTTCAAGCTGCCATCATTTAAAAAATAGCCACAATCACTTTATGAAGTATGAGTGTCATCATCTTTCAAAGTAATGTTTTCCAAATGTTCTGTGAAACAAGCTTGCCATTCCTGGGACAGAAAGCACTTTTGCAGCAATTCTGCAGATGTCAGCAACTGCAGATTGTGCCCCTTGCCCTACTGTGTGACATTGTCATTAATGCCCATCTCAGCAACTGCACACTGTGCCCTTGCCCTACTGTGTGATGTCATTAATGCCCATCTCAGCAGCTGTACACCATGTACCCTGTCCTGTGTGAGGATTGCCACACACCTCACTGAACTGTGAACTCTGTTATAAAGCATTTCTTTCCTAGGCATATTAGTGCTTGTGATCCATTTGTTCCATTTTTGAAAATGTATATGCATCATCATTTTCTTTATCTCTTGGTTCTTATGGATTTAGGATAATAGTCTTCAAACATATATGCTAAGAAATATGTTTAAAGTCTTTAAATTGTAAGTTAGTATATGGTATAGTTTTTGAAGAATGTTGGTAGCAATTTTTTTTTTAACAATTGGAATTTGGTTGAAGGTATATAGAAGATAGCCTCCCTCTAGTGAAGGTATAATTGTAAAAAACTGAAGCCTACTTTTGTTACACTGTTCATCTAGTGTTAAGGAGATGAGAACAAGTTTTTGCTTTCTTTCTTCTGAGTTTTATTAACCAGGCTGTAATTTATTTGTTGGAGCAGACGCATATTCAATGGATACATTTTCATAATTTAGAGATAGGTGTTATAGATGGAAATTTCCCAATGTTGGAAAGGTAGTATAGTGTATTTTTTTGGGTGTGTTAGAATTGATAGTTGTGGTTTGGGCAGAATCTTAGATCATGTTACCATAATATTTTGAGTCAAAACATTTCATCATTGTAAAGTACAAATACATTTGCCTCTAAACCCTCCCAGAATGTCAGGAAATAATACCCCAGGACTTTCCTTAAGAGACACTAGCTATAATATACAGCTAGGGTTCCAGAAGTGATTTTAACATCTGCTGGTTTATGAGCAAAAAGTAAGCTACGTGAAATTTGATGGATAGTAGAATATGTTGAAGAGAATGACAAATATGCTCCACATGCTCTGAAAAAGGATTTAATTGGCCTCATCTATCAGTGCTCATGGCCCGGATGATCTCCCATGCCTCAGTGCATTACGGGACTGGGAAGTTTGCTTCCTGCTTCAATGGGGACTGAACCACACGTTTACCATTTGTCATGGACGACACAGATTTTTGATCTCAGGGATCCTGTGTTGGGATTCTGTCTCCAGATTTTAGCTACTTCTGCTTTTACTGTGTGTAAGTTGCTAACTCTCACTGCTATACAGAAATGAAAGATTAATGTGAGAAGCCATCAAGTAGAGCATTTTGATTTTCCCATTTCTGTATGGTACAAGGCAGGATGCTGAGACACTGAATTCTATATATTTTATCTTGTCTAGTTTTAAGTAGAGAGCTTAATTTACATTGGTTTTAGTTACATTCTACATAGGAATATTGAATAATTAAAAAAAGATTTAAGGGCTGGGAAGTTGGCTCAGTGGTAGAACACTTGCCTTGCAAGCCTGAGGCCCTGGGTTCGATTCCTCAGCACCACATAAGCAAAAAGAAAAAAGCCAGAAGTGGCACTGTGGCTCAAGTGGTAGAGTGCTAGCCTTGAGCTGAAGAGCTGAGGGACAGTGCCCAGGCCCAGAGTTCAGGCCCCACGACCAGACCCCCCCCCAAAAAAAAGATTTAAATTCTGATAGGAAACTTCTTTGTTATCTAGTTACCTACTTTACTATCCATGTGTGGATATTAAAAATATGTGACAATTAGATGATTAAGCTTTTCAAAATATCACTTAAAGTTTGCATGAGATAAAATGACTTGAGAAAAACTTAATTTAGGGCTGGGAAGGTGGCTCAGTGGTAGAGCGCTTGCCTTGCATGCCTGAGGCCCTGGGTTCCATTCCTCAGTACCACATAAGCAAAAAGAAAAAAGCTGGAAGTGGTGCTAAGCCTCAAGTGGTAGAGCCCTAGCCTTGAGCTGAAGAGCTAAGGGACAGCACCCAGGCCCAGAGTTCAGGCCCCACTACTAGACACCCCCCCAAAAAAAAGAAATACTTAATTTACATATGAAAGCTCTGTTCTTAATACAATGTGTGAAATGGGCATGTATTTTAGTTGAACTGAAGAGCAAAATTATACTTTCATTCTTATGTTGAAAATTTTTAATATAATATGATTCTTCCATAAGTAAAAAAATCTAGATATGCTTTGGATCGAAAAATTTTCTTGTTCTTCACCATTTTAGCTGAGTTCTGGATTAAAGCTAGAGCTGTAGAAATCTTAAAGCCTTGGTTCAGTAATTGAGGGTAAATAAGTAGGACTTTTTTTTTGTAGTGTCCAAATGTGTTGACTTAAGACCCATGCTTCTTTTAAGACTTCCTTTTTTGGCACAGTAAAGAAATACAAATCACAACAGTACTCCACAGTTATTTCAATTATTCTAAACAAAGTGGGCGGATAAACTGAGTATGTTGCTACTCAAAATACAAATTGTTCTCTGCCAAACTATTTGTCAAACTATGTATCTACAATTGACGCTTTTATTTCAGGCATTCCTCGAGTTATCCAATGTAAATTTAGACTTCCTCTGAAATTAGTCTGCTTGCCAGATCAGCCTTCAAAAACTGCAAGTCACAAACTCACGATTGACACCAACAAATCTCCAGTGAGCCTGCTCAGCCTCTTCCCAGGTAGGACTTTGGAAGCAGAAATGTTAGGAATTTCAGATGGAATCTTCTGCAGCAGGTAATGGTGGATAATTATCATGTAATTGCTGTTAGGATATTATAGTGCCTTAAGGACCTTTCCCTCTTGTTAGCCTGTTCAAAGGCAAATATTCCTTATATCAACAAGGTAATGGGGTATACCTTTTAAGCTTGATTAAAATTATTATAATAATTGTTTTCCTTTAGTACTCAGAAAGACAACATCAAATGTTTCTTTTTTAGGTTGGAATCTTTTGGCCTAAGATGTAAATATGTAGTATTTCTCTTCTTCATAGATCTTCAGATGGGTCCCTTTTCTAAGAATATAGCTTACCTTCACTGTAGACTTTTGTAGTGTAACTTCAAAAGTCTAGTTTTAGGCTCTGGAAAAGTAGCCTCCAAAGTAGGTGCTTTTGGGGCTGAGCACAGTAGCTGGAAGGAGCAGAGTTGCATGGCTCTGGTTGTGCAGAAGTTCCCATGGCCCTGGTTGTGCAGTGGTCACATGCACCACAGCGTATGTCCACGAATTCATATGGGGAAGGTAGGACCTTCTTCAGTCACTTTGCTTCCTGGGTGGCTTGGAAAGGCAAAGTCTTTCATTAGATAAAACAGCTTTAGTAATCAAGGTTTCCAAGGCATTATATCTACTAACTTTCTTGTGATGTGGTGAAATTAAAGAAAATAATCTGGGGATTAAATAGCTCAGCCACGTCCTTCATTAAAAACCAGCACTTGGCCAGGCACCAGTGACTCACACCTCTAATCTTAGCTACTAAGGAGGCTGAGATCTGAGGATCATGTTTTGAAACCAGCCCAAGGAAAACAGTTCTATGAGACTCTTATCTACAATTAACCATTCAAAACCCAGGGTGATGCTGTGGCTCCAAGTGATAGAGCACTAGCCTTGAACAAAAGAACTCAGGCACCATACCCAGGCCTACAACCAACCAACCAACAAACAAAAATCAGTACTTGTACAGTTTAACAAAATGATTATCAGGAAACTGAACCATATGTTAATGAGGAAATCATGAAAGGAGGAGGAAAAAAGAAAAAGGGAATGGTAGACCAGTGCAGTCCTAATACTCAGGGCTCATGTGTAAGAAAGGAAGTGGGACCCATCTGACAGCTGGGGAAAGGGTGACTCATCAAGCACTGGGCACATAAATGGTCATGTTAAATTGCCACCTCCCTGTACAGCCATTAGAAGATAAAAAAAAATTGAATTCGGCATTCTTGCTATGTGATACATTCCCTAAAATAATTTTAAATTCAGCACTTCTGGCTATGAGATACATTCTCCCCTCCCCGCCATGTCTGTGGTAGGACTCAGAATGCAGAGAATATTTCTCACTGGAGTTAGGATTTTATGTAAAGTCAGCTTTTGTTAATGACTACTTAGCATGCCTTAAATTCATTTTTTTTTTTTTTTTGGGTCCGGTAGTAGGGCCTGAACTCTGGGCCTGGGCGCTGTCCCTCAGCTCTTCAGCTCAAGGCTAGTGCTCTACCACTTGAGCCACAGCGCCACTTCCGGCTTTTTTCTTTTTGCTTATGTGGTGCTGAGGAATTGAACCCAGGGCCTCAGGCATGCAAGGCAAGCGCTCTACCACTGAGCCACCTTCCCAGCCCCCTTAAATTCATTTTTCATTAATTTGAAGTGTTTAAAAAAATCTTATATAAAAGTCTCCAAAATTAAGTGCTTTTATGATTATTTAAATTTTGAGCTTGAATTGGATTTGAAAATATGCACATATATTGCTAGTAATTATTTGCTTAGTTTCTTTCTTCCTCATCTCTTCTTCTTTCCATTCTCCTCCTTTTCCCTCCCCTCCTGTCCTTCTCTTCCCTTACCATCTTATATAACAAGTTTGGGTTGTAAAAAAAGAAAAAAAAAGGAATAGTCACTACCTTTGCAGCATATTGTTTAAGTTTATAAGTTACTTGGTGGCTTGTTCTGCCCTGGAAACATAGTGGGAAAGTGTGTGCTGAATGACAAGTCATTGGTGAATCTGCAAAATATTAAGCACCTGGTTTTTGAGAAGTTGATCCTTTTTGTAGATAGATAAACTCATCTGGAGCCTGAGTAAACATTGACTAGGGAGGTTTCCCTGCAAGGTATGAATTGAAATACTTGTAGGAAGGAAAGTGTGGTTAACTCCTCCTTTCTTCCTCAGATGGTTTGACATTATTGGTGTTATGCTTGTTGTTTGCTTACTTGTTTTAGAAATAGGACTTGGTGGAAAAAAATTAAAAACATTTCCCCAAGATTCAGGGTATATGAAATATTCAAAAAATGTCTACATTTGTGTTCATATTGGACATGCTTTCATCATATAACTGTTTAAAATAAGTATCATTTCTCTCTTGGTGAGTATACAGCTTTTATATGTTGAACATAGATAAAAGTCGCTATCACAGGGGCTGGGAAGGTGGCTCAGTGGTAGAATGCTTGCCTTGCATGGGTTCGATTCCTCAGTACCACATAAGCCGAAAAAGCAGGAAGTGGTGCTGTGACTCAAGTGATAGAGCTCTAGCCTTGAGCTGAAGAGCTGAGGGACAGCGCCCAGGCCCAGAGTTCAAGCCCCATGACCGACAAAAAAAAAAAAAAGTCACTATTACGAATCTTCACTGTCTATTTTTTTAACTGAAAACAAATTAATGAGCTTTGTAGAGAAGAAATAAAATAACTTTGAATCTGTATCTCTTTCTAATTGTTTTCTCTGTAGATACATTTAAAATAATTTAAAATTTCTTACCAAAGAAATGTGAAATTGAATCCAGGTAACAATAGCTTGTACTTATAATCCTAGCTGTATGGGAGGATTTCGAGTTCAAGGCGGGCCCCAGAGAGAAAAATTCTTGATGTGAGCCTTAAATATGATTTGTGACCAAAAAATACTTGATTAGGCCTCCTGTCTTAAGGACTAATTGTTCATTTTACCTGGTGATCACATAATGTGATTTTTCCTCTTTTCTTTGCAGGCTTTGCCAACCAGTCAGAGGATGATCAGGTGAATGTGCTGGGTTTTCGGTTCTTAGGAGGCTCCCGTGTTACTCTGCTTGCTTCCAAAACCTCTCGTAAGTACAGTAAGATAAATCTGTTTTTGAAAAAAAAATGTTAATAGGTAGGAACATATGTGCTGTTATGAAATTGTACCTGTGTTTCTGTAGCTTAGATCATAAAAGCTTCTGCTAACTGATATGGCAAACTCAGAAACAAGCAAATACAATTGGATAAGTAACAAAAATACCTTAGAAGAATGAGAAGATTCCACATGGGTCTGTTATGAGTATAGTTTTCATCCTATTCATATGCTCTATTTAAAAATATATTGTTTGGTAATACAGTTAGTATGAGCTTTGTCACCTTACAAGATTCTTAAGTGCGTAATTCAGTATTGCTAACACTAGCCATGTGGCACCATTTTGCTTTTGTCAGCTTTACTCTTCAGTTGTCTGATGGATTCATTTTGATGTATTTCTTTTATTTATGTAAACTGTTTTCTTTCTTTCTCTCTGTGTGTGTATGCTCTGTCTCTCTGTGTCTGTCTGTCTGTCTGTCTCTCTCTCTCTTGTTGCTTGATTGGGTTAGAATCTCATGTCTCATGGATTTTTCTACCTGGGCTGGTTTCAAACCAGAATTCTCAGATTTCAACTTCCTAATTAGCTAGGATTATAGGTAGAGCTACTGACTGGCACCTAACTCTCAAAGCATTGACAGAGCCACAGTGTAGGTTCACAGACTAAATAATGAAATAAGAATCAAATGACTGACATAAAGCCAAACCTGAAGGGCAGCCCTACATCCTCTGTTGGTTTTGGCTTCAGTGTGCTGGATTAATCCCTAGGAGATAGCTTAGTGTTGGAGCAAATAGGTCTAATAGAGTATACAGCTTTCTGTGGTCGAGGCAGATGTTGGGGCTCCCTTCTGCTATATCAGAATGCTCATTCTAAGAAAGACATGAAGAAATATGAGCCCAACTTGTGTTTGCCATTTTTTCCTTTTTGTGAAAAGCACATAGTGGTAATTCGCGTCAAGAAACCTGAATCCACAGAGAAACTATGGCGAGAACTCAGTATTTCTTCCATGTTGAACAGGGAAGTGATTCATAAGCCATGCAGAGTTGTCCTTGGCTCTTGGTTAGTGTTTCCTGTAGGTCCCACATACTCATTTCCTCTCCAAGCCTGCTGGATGATCAACGAAGGCTTCAAGGGTGCGGTATGGTAATTTGAGTTCAATTTCCTGATTCAGTGCAGACCAATCAGAGCAGACAAGGCGAAAGTGAGTTCAGCTCATCATTTTAGATATCAAATCACAGTCTCTATGGACCTGAATATGTTTTTGTTTTCAGAAAGTAAGTGTAATGCTTCAATGTAACTGAAGTGTAGTATGTGAATTCTGACAAATGAACACTGTGATAAAAATATTTGGGAGAATGGTCTATACTAACAGGACTTCTGAAAATTATTACTACAGTCCCAAATTGGAAAGAACAGGATCAGTCAAATTTTAATGAGATCAATTATTTTTACAACCAGCATTATAAAATATTATCACACGGAAGTCTGTAATTTTGAGTGATTCAGTGTAGTGGAATTTCAGAAGAAATCTGATATTGCTTAACTATCTACAAATCGTTCCCATGTAGCTTTCCTGAGATGTAGATGCTGAACTATCAGCTAAACTCTGCCGCTCTGTGCATTGTCCTCTTCTGTTCCTTTCTTTGTCTTGGTCTCTCTCCTGGATTTTTATCTCTTTTTGTGTCTTAAAAGAATTTGGAAAGCTTAAAAATGCCCAAAATGTATAAGGTAAAAATAAGTAGTCAAAGAAACTAGGGAGAGAAAGTAAAAGAAGGAAATAAAGTTAGGAATAACATTAGCACTCAGAAATGTAGTTTGTATACTTCATCAGATACTAGCATTGTACAAGAGCAAGAAAGCATTTCAGTTACAATTTTTAGCAAGTTCAAAATATATAATTATATAATCTGGGAATTGTGCAGCTTGAAGTTTAGGATGAAATTTCTCTTATAAGCATTCAGGAAGATAATTCCTTTAATAATGTCTATATAATTAATATTTTATAATGATAATGATTATGTAATCATAATTTATGGGTAGAATTTTCACAAATGTTTAAAAAATAATCTCAGTTTACTAAATTTCTACGTAAGCCCAGATTGGTGCATTCTAAACCACAACTTGATGCAAATATGCATTTGGAGTCTCTAGTACTGCAAGTTTTCAGTACCTAGTGTTCCCAGAGAAGATTGAGCAGCCAAATTTGTAATTCAGGAACGAGAAGTAAAATAAAGTAGTTGTAGGTTTTGTTTTGTGATGAGTAGGCCATCAGAAATAGACTGTTATGCCTCTTATGCATAATAATTGGAGAGACAAATAAAGAAAACTGATAGAAAAAGTTGAATATCCTTATAGAAGCAAACATTAACTAGTGTCAGATCCCCAAAGAAGATTTTATTTGAAAAGGTTTTTAGGAATGAATTGACTTAAGTGCAGGCCATTTCAGGAGGAGGGAAAAGACTGAAATGTTTGTTAAACCATGAAGGTTTTAGGAGTCAATGAATTTTCTTTAGTGTCTGGAGGATCACGTTATGAGAGCTCTGTGATACTACTTTAATGAAGTTAAGAAACTCAGGGACCATTCATGATTATATTGATTAAACCTAAAGACATCTGGTGCCTGCCTCATATCCTAGGAGTAGTTTGAAGTATCTGGTGATTCATGTGTATATTACTGTTAATATTTATCTCAGCAGTTTATTGGCAGTTATCAAGGAACAATGTGATTATTATATTGATCTAGCTTTAAAGAAAGCAGTCTAGCTTGAAGGTTAAAATGTGTTTGTGACTTTAACTATCACTATTCCACAATACTGTGAAATATGTGAAATTTATGTAATCACACAATCTCAATTAAAAAAAATTTTAAAAAGGGATGTGTTAGGAGCGATGGGTAACAATGTTGTCAGACACCTTGTATTCATATACTGTTTTGTAGAATGGGAACTTTTTGTACGACGACTTAAAGATAATAATAAAAAAAATTTAAAGAGAAAAGAAAAAAGTAAATGTAGGTAAATATCCATAGTTTCTAGTAATATTGAAGAGGTTATATATTTAGAACATTAAGCTTTTATCTATTGTAATTGTTTATATATTTCCTCCAACTTTGGGGTCAAAAAAGTACCCATCTGCTTTTCCATGTTATGTTTTAAAATTTCCAACTTGCATAAATGGTGTGGATGCATTGTTTATGATATGAATACAGACATTATTTAGACTGATGAACTTCAGATGTTCTGACATGAGCACATACTGACATGGTGCACTTTTGTGCTGTACTTAATGAAATACATTATTTTCTCCATATGTAGAAGAGTGGAAAGGCAGTTGACTGGGTGACTAGTGTACAAATTTATTTTATTTGGAAGCTGACATGATTATGTCCACTGAGCTGCTATTACAAGATGCAGAGGAAAAAGAGATAAACAGATGGCGTGTTCATCTTGGCAGCTCTTTTGATTATGAGTGTTTTAGGGCCATATTTTTTAAAATAGAGCTTCTTTTATGTTGCATTACAAATAGAAATTTTCCTTTCTCCTTTTCCATTATATTATATATATATATATATATATATATATATATATAATCTGGAAAGTCTCCACGGGCAGTGTTAATCATCTTGGAGTATTAACAGTGAGAAAGGTTTAATAATCAAAATAATGTCTTATAAACCTTAGACTCATTGATTCTTGTTGATTTTTGGTAATTGAAAAAAAGCCAACTTAAGAATATTATTTATCTTTCTACATCCCACTTTTCATAGTAGAAAAATGCAGTTTCTTCCCTCCCCCTCGCTTATGTTGACACAAATAAGAAAACAAAAGCACAAACTGTCAAGTTCAGTATATATTAAATCTGTGTCAGTATTCACTATTATTTTTGCTTTTTTTTTTTGGTCAGTCGTGGGGCTTGAACTCTGGGCTTGGGCACTTGTCCCTGCGTTCTTCAGCTCAAGACGAGTACACTACCACTTGAGCCACAGCACCACTTCCGGTTTTCTAGTGGTTTTATTGGAGATAAGAGTCTCACGGACTTTCCTGCCTGGGCTGGCTTTGAACCGCAATCCTCAGATCTCAGCCTCAGCGTGAGCCACTGGCACCTGGCTACTATTTTTGTTTTATAACTCTAGTACATGTGTGAAACGTGGTCACAGGGTGCCTGTTAGTCACCTGAACTTTTACATACATTTCATTTTTTACATACCCTATACATTATTAAATAGTTCTATACATAATTCTATACATTTGTATAATCTATATATTTTAATTAAATAGTTCCATTTTAGACCATGTAATTTTGCTTGCTCTAAAATTTGATTGTATAAAGGTAAATTGTCTTTGCCTTTGCTATGCAGCATTATATTGAATCTCCATGATGAAATACACTATTTTTAACCATCTGCTGAGGTGTTTTATTTATTTTTTCCTTTGTGCAGATGAAGAAATTTAAAGTTGAGTAATTTATTTTTACTGAAGTAAAGACTGAAAATTAAACTGGCCATTAAAGTTTTTTCAGAGAGTAAGAATTGAGAGAGTGGGAGTTTCCTTGTCCTCATGATGTCTGTGATGTTAGAATGATGACACATCTCATTTGTCACCACCACCCATTACCTGGGCCATAGCTATCAGTTCATTTTTTTTTCTCTTGGAAGGCCTTGTAGTAAAAGCAAACAAAGAAGCAGAAGCTCAAAGGTTGTCGTTGTGTTAGCTTCTCAGTTAAAATCCTCTGCATTTGCAATAATATTCACGATCTTTAGTTGTTTTGCTTCTTGAGTTAGGATCTAAGTTGCCCAGACAGATCCCCAACCCAAGTTTATTCTGCCTCAGCTTCCTCTGTGCCATCATACTCTACTCAGTATCTAAATTCTTCACCAAGCCCTGTTGATCTCTGTTTATAGTCAGACCTTGGCCTAATGTTCATCATTAGCTAGGGCAACTGTCTTCCTCACCCTGACCATCCTTCTCTTTCTGGTAAATGTCTGGCCATTTTTTGCC